AAGCCTCTGGGTCATCCTAATAAAGATATTATTTAATAACCGCAATCAATAGAACTAGCTGAACCGACATTTGTGTACTTTATTTATGCAATGTAAAAACGGTGGAGACGATGTGCAATAAAACGATGAAAATATGAAGAAATGGTGTAGGGAAAAATATGGATTCAAACAAGTTTTCGTACAACACTCATCAGGAATCGTCGTTGTACTAAAGGACACTGAAACAAAAATTGAACTATTATAGAAAATCTAAGTTAGAGAAATAACACTAAGAGCAACAGCAGTGAAATTTACAAGTGTGAATTTTAACAATCAAAGCGAGAAATGAACAAAGGAGAAAGGAAGGAAAGACAACGTGATAACACATAACAGCAGTACATTACACCTAGAACATTAAAGGGGAAGTATACCCTAAAATCAAATTTTCACCAGTTGTAGTCTTCTGGGTGCTGAGTCGAATGGTCTTGGTCCGAGGAAGCTGCGACGCTCCCTTCCTACTTGAATCCCAATCGAACTCGCGCACTTCCACCGAAACTGGGTGACTGCGCCCTACTAGATGGGGATTTGTATGCAAAATGTCACTAAAAGCGCCATTTCGTTCTTATAAAAGCACGGATGACCGCGATTGGCCCATATGTTGTAGTCTTTTGGACGCTGAGTCGACTGGTTTTGGTCCGAAAAGGCTGCGATGCAGCGTTCCTCCTTTATTCCCAATCGAACATGGTTGAACAAGCGGTCACGTGCTCCTGGGTGCCCAAATCACCTGGTCACCGCGCCAGCAGGTGACAACTTTCACACCAAGGTTCAACTCGAGTTCAACTCGAGTGACAGGACTGCACCCAAAAAAGGTCAAACAGGCTAGTAAGTTGTACCCTGCAGGCACGGTGACCAGGTGACTGGCGTACGCAGGAGCACGTGACCGCTTGTTCAACCATGTTCGATTGGGAATAAAGGAGGAACGCTGCATCACAGCCTTTTCGGACCAAAACCAGTCGACTCAGCGTCCAAAAGACTACAACATATGGGCCAATCGCGGTCATCCGTGCTTTTATAAGAACGAAATGGCGCTTTTAGTGACATTTTGCATACAAATCCCCATCTAGTAGGGCGCAGTCACCCAGTTTCGGTGGAAGTGCGCGAGTTCGATTGGGATTCAAGTAGGAAGGGAGCGTCGCAGCTTCCTCGGACCAAGACCATTCGACTCAGCACCCAGAAGACTACAACTGGTGAAAATTTGATTTTAGGGTATACTTCCCCTTTAACGGCCGAGCTTGGCCGCACTAAACACGACACGTTACTTGAACAATTTCAACCCAATTATACTATCTTTCTGTACACACAAATTAGGCTTATACAGACGCTGATAGATAGCTTCCAAAACTTTTAACTGTAGTCCATAACCATGACGACCACGGCACAATACAGTGAACGAAGAGTCGGAATACGAATTGCAACAATCAGGACTAGCTAGCAGATGATTGTACACTGAAGACTTGCTACCACGAAACCTACGCACAACACTAACACTCTCACCGGCACTCTCACCATCACTCCCATCACTGCTCTCCGACTCACTGCTCCCTCCGCCGTCCGTTCCATCCTCCGCTTCCTCTGTACTCTCTCTGTCTCGTCCATCCCGCCTGACCGGGTCCATTGAACTCAACTCGGCCGTCACCCTGCTATCACGTCCCTCCTTTCGCCCTTGTCCGCTGAGTGCGTAGCTTCTGTTGTAGTTGGCTGTTGATCATCTTGGTCTTTCAATTATGGGCTTGGATGGTGGATTAGTTGTGGTTGCTGTAGATTGCGTTGTTGGTGTTGGTGTGGGAGCTACTGATATGCAAGGTGGGTCTTTTTGAGTCAGCATTTGTAGTGTTAATGCAGCTGTCAGTGTTGCTCGCGGTCTGCCACTGGCAAGCTCCACCGCCACAAGAACCGATGGCGGAGGATCAGGAGGAGGCAGTGGGACCGGGACCGCAAGCGGCACCGCCTCAGCCAAAGCCGCCGGGGGCACTGACTTGTTTGAATCCCTATTTTTCCCTACGCCATTTCTTCACATTTTCATCGTTTTATTGCACATCGTCTCCACCGTTTTTACATTGCATGAATAAAGTACACAAATGTCGGTTCAGCTAGTTCGATTGATTGCGGTTATTAAATTATTGTCTCCTCGCTGTGTGTTCAAAGATATTATTATTATTATTAAGACAGTAGCACATAGTTTCCATTGATAAGTGACAAGAAAACGTTCTGGAACCCTTCAATTGCTGCCTCCACGTCGCCTGTTCAAAGACAAACATGTTGCTACTGTAAACCTTTATTCTCACAATTGTCCAGCGGCCAATAGGAGATAGAAAATTGGAAATTTATGCTACTGGGTTGTTGTTGTTGTTGTTGTTGTTGTTGTTGTTGTTGTTGTTGTTGTTGTTGTTGTTGTGTGTGTGTGTGTGGGGGGGGGGGGGGGGGTAGGACTTGTTGAATTGTGTTTGTAGTCACCAATCACTGTAAACCAACAAGACACACCAGCAATCCATGGATATCAATTTCGAATTTTTGCGGATCATTGCCTGAACAATGGCTGCGTTCGACTATGCACTTGAATCGACTCATGAATCCATGCGCATGCATTCAAGTCGTTCGATTTTCATGTCATGAGCCCTGGAATCGGTTCGGAATCCATTCACCCTATCCATTCACATGGGGTGATGTGAATAGCACGAATCAATTCATGAATGAATTCATGAATTTATTCGCGGGCATAATCGAACGCACTCACTGACTCAGTGTGATATCGCTCGTACCCATTTCTTCTGGATGAAACCGAGTGCAGTACACGTGTGCACACCTGAATACAATGCAACACTAGTAGAACATTTTTTAATAGTCTACTAGTTACCGTCTCTACGTCAAAGTCTCATGTGCATCGATGCAATTATCGGAAAGCTGTGATGTAATCATCAGGAGACAATGATGTAATTATCGGGAAACTATGATGTATCAGGAGACAATGCTGTGATCATCAGGAGTAATCATTGGTAGACTGATGTAATTTTCAGGAGGCAATGCTGTGATCACCAAGGGACTATGATGTAATCGAAAGGAGACTCTGCTTGACTGAAGAGTGTACACTGGGCTGTATCCTACACTACAATGTTTGTGATGTTGCCATGGTACCTTGGGGGGGGGGGGGGGGGAACAGGGCATATGATAAGAAATTCGAAGTGCTCGGACGGCATGTCCTTTCATTTCCATTTTTGGCCAGACATGTCCGGACGTATCAAAACCCTTAAAAATATCGCCAACGATTTCAACACCGCTGCACGATGTGCTCTGCAGAACATTCCAGCAATAAAACACACCAGTGGCCATAATGTGCATACATGTATGTACATGATTATCAAATAATCTACGTGGAGATAATAATTTTAATATGGCTATGAATAGGATGAAGGCCGCAGACATCACGCAACCACGTTACTTGTTTGACATGTATTTACTGTGTATTTTATAACAAAATTGTATCTTGTTGTTATTTCTAACACCTTTCTATTTACAGTACTTAACTTCAGTTTCTTTGGTTGTATCCTTAGTTCCGTATTTTTTTCCCACTGATGATAGGAACAAGAAAATCGATTATGGGTTTTCAATAATATTTTTGTTATAAAATACACAGTAAATACATGTCTAACAAGTAACGTAGGTGCGTGATGTCATCGGCCTTCATCCTATTCATAGCTATTAGGGGTGAAACGAGTATCTATTTTGACCAATCGATCACTCGTTCATAATATTCGATCGAGTATCCGATTATTTTGAGTATTTTATCAAAATTCAAAAGCACTAGATTTGCGAGTTCTCGCCCAATCCGGAAGAAATTATCTGTGAACATCGAACAAAAGTCGCCAACGTCTTGTACAGAGTGTAAAGTAACGATTTTCATCAGTACTTTCATATCTCAGAACGTTACTTGCCGTGGTGATCGCATCGTCGAAGTCTTAAAATACTGACTCAAACCATGCATAACGCATGCATACCAGTGGACCAGTGGTACAACAAAAAGTTTTTGAAAAATACAATGCCAATACTAAAAAATAAAAATAAAAAAATAAAATAAAATAAAACGATCTAGTGCAAACTTTCGAATACTCGCTCGTTTGAAATTTTCGAACGAATACTCGAATATTCGAACTAATTGTTTCACCCCTAATAGCTATACATGATTATCATAATTATTATACATAAAATGAATTGATCAATTATTCCGTAAAACTCTGTTATGTGCGGTGTGCAATTGAGATATTTTCCGATGATCAATTATTATTATTTTTATTGATAGACACGTGAACTATGTACAGTATAGCGCATTATCTAGCAGTACTATGTAGGATGACACGCAGTTCACCACTCATGGCATTGACGTCCTCAAATTTCTTGAGCTGACGATGAAAGCCTCGCCGAAATTCTTTCCGCTTTTCACTTGCTCCTCGAATTTGACGCCCACCGCGCATTTCAGAATTTCCACCAATTGCCGGTCATCTTTCTGTCGCTCGTACCTCAGCCAGACGGAGGTACACAGTTCTGTGTCACTATCGGAAACCCTTTTGCCACAAGTAGACGTTTTCACTCCGCGTGCTACTTTCTTCGCCGGAGCAGAGCTCTCACTGTCATCCTTCCTCTTTCCAAACATTTTGACAACGGCTCAACTCTTCTTATTCACCACTCGCAAACGTACTGTAGTCTCAGTACACTTACAGATCCTGGGTGCACGTGTAGTGCACGTGCATAGTACTACTTGTGCATGAGGATGTCGCAAACATGAAGAATATTGTGAACCGTGTGTCGCTGTCGCAAGTCGCATGTCGAGTCGCAGAAAGTTGTATTGTGAATCGGCTTTTAGTGTGCGAAACTCGGAGTAAAAGCACTTTTTCATCCTTTTATTATTGTTGTAACTTTACTTTTTATAGCAATGAGTTTGCGTGCTCTTGTTCTCTGTCCTGTTGCAGAATCTGGCAAGGAGCAGAGGAGCTTGCAGTGCAATGGTGGGACATATTACTACCACCCGACGGCGCTGGGGATGACCTACGCAGAGACCGTGTGCGAGCAGGATTTCGGCGGTCGCGTCATGTCCGCCAATGTAGTGGATCTCGCGTGCGGTGCGAACCTGCTCCGCATGCCAGCGTTGCAGGCGAGTAACGTCAGCGGCATTCCTGTTTTCCTCCAGAATAGCAAATCGTCGCCGCTCTTTGTCATTGGATTCTGCCACGTGTGGGACTTTAAGAGGATGACATTCAATAATCTCTGGTGCAGTGATACGCTGCCTGTGATTTGCGTCAAAGGTGAGTGTTGCTGGTCCGGGTCTTCACCGAGAGCAAAGTGTACTTGGCTGCGAATCATAGCATGCACTTCATGTCAGGTGTGCAGTGTGGGACTTTGGCATTTTCAGTTTGAACTCTGGCGTATACACAATGTGCACACCCGGCTGCAAATACTGGACCGGTGTGTATGACAGACAAGAAGGGGGGGGGGGGGAGGGGGGAGGGGGGGGGGGGCAAAAGCCCTTCTGAATTACCAAATATGGAAGGTATGAGTAATGCATGTGAGTACACTGCGATCAGCAATGCACTGTTCAACACCCCAGATGACCATGCCCCCGGTGGCTGTGTGGGGTGTTATGTGAGTACACTGGGATCAGCAATGCACTGTTCAACACCCCAGATGACCATGCCCGAGTGGCTGTGTGGGGTGTTATGTGAGTACACTGGGATCAGCAATGCACTGTTCAACACCCCAGATGACCATGCCCGAGTGGCTGTGTGGGGTGTTATGTGAGTACACTGGGATCAGCAATGCACTGTTCAACACCCCAGATGACCATGCCCGAGTGGCTGTGTGGGGTGTTATGTGAGTACACTGGGATCAGCAATGCACTGTTCAACACCCCAGATGACCATGCCCGAGTGGCTGTGTGGGGTGTTATGTGAGTACACTGGGATCAGCAATGCACTGTTCAACACCCCAGATGACCATGCCCGAGTGGCTGTGTGGGGTGTTATGTGAGTACACTGGGATCAGCAATGCACTGTTCAACACCCCAGATGACCATGCCCGAGTGGCTGTGTGGGATGTTATGTGAGTACACTGGGATCAGCAGTGCACTGTTCAACACCCCAGATGACCATGCCCGAGTGGCTGTGTGGGGTGTTATGTGAGTACACTGGGATCAGCAGTGCACTGTTCAACACCCCAGATGACCATGCCCGAGTGGCTGTGTGGGGTGTTATGTGAGTACACTGGGATCAGCAGTGCACTGTTCAACACCCCAGATGACCATGCCCGAGTGGCTGTGTGGGGTGTTATGTGAGTACACTGGGATCAGCAGTGCACTGTTCAACACCCCAGATGACCATGCCCGAGTGGCTGTGTGGGGTGTTATGTGAGTACACTGGGATCAGCAGTGCACTGTTCAACACCCCAGATGACCATGCCCGAGTGGCTGTGTGGGGTGTTATGTGAGTACACTGGGATCAGCAGTGCACTGTTCAACACCCCAGATGACCATGCCCGAGTGGCTGTGTGGGGTGTTATGTGAGTACACTGGGATCAGCAGTGCACTGTTCAACACCCCAGATGACCATGCCCGAGTGGCTGTGTGGGGTGTTATGTGAGTACACTGGGATCAGCAGTGCACTGTTCAACACCCCAGATGACCATGCCCGAGTGGCTGTGTGGGGTGTTATGTGAGTACACTGGGATCAGCAATGCACTGTTCAACACCCCAGATGACCATGCCCGAGTGGCTGTGTGGGGTGTTTATGGTACAAATTACGTCACTGTGCAATGGGCTTATGACTGTGCACCCGTGAGTTTTGGGCTTATGACTGTGCAACCATGAGTTGTTCTCCGGACCTTTACGGATGTCATGTTGCTGTTTGGATTCTTTCAGATGCGTCTCTTCCCAGCACTGGCGGTGCAAGCTCTGCTAATGCCGCCTCCAATAGATCCTCTGAAAGCACAAATCCGATTGGAAATTCCATGCAGCCTTCACTTCCTCCAGACATTGTTGCTCTCCCACCGGTGAATGTGAATGTGCATGATAACACAACAACTTCTCCTGGCAGTAATTTCGGCAGTGGGAACACCACGTCTACAGCACCGAGTGTTAGCGATTATGTCATGCCGTCAGTACCCAGTGTGGTCGATGATGTCATGTCGCCAGTACCCAGTGTGGTCGATGATGTCATGCCGCCAGCACCCAGTACATTCGATGTCATGCCGACGGTACCAAACATGTTTGATATGCCGTCAGCACCCAGCGTGGCTGATAATACCATGCTGTCGGTACCCCGTATGGTCGATGATGTTATGCCGATGGTGCCCAACATGTTTGATATCTTGCCGTCAGAACCCAGTGCAGTCCCTTATGTCATGCCGTCAGTGCCCAATGTGGTTGATGATGTCATTCCGGCAGTACCCCGTATGGTTGATGATGTCATGCCGTCAGTACCCCACATGAGCGATGATGTCATTCCGGCAGTACCTCGTATGGTCGATGATGTCATGCCGGCAGTATCCCGTATGGTCAATGATGTCATGTTTAGAGCACCAGATGGCGGCGATGGAGTCACAACTACCAGTCCTCGGGGACCAACTGATGCTGTGCCCAAATTGCCCGATGTTATGCCGTCAGTACCCCGAATGGTCGATGATGTCATGTTTAGAGCAGAAGACGGTGGCGATGGAATCACAACCACCAGTCCCCCGGCAACAACAGACACTGTGCCCAAACTATCCGATGATGTAATGCCGCCAGTACCCCGAATACTCGATGATGTCATGCTTAGAGCAGAAGACGGTGGCGATGGAATCACAACTACCAGTCCCCCGGCAACAACAGACGCTGTGCCCAAACTGTCCAATGATGTAATGCCGCCAGTACCCCGAATACTCGATGATGTCATGTTTAGAGCAGAAGACGGTGGCGATGGCATCACAGCCACCAGTCTCCCGGCAACAACAGACGCTGTGCCCAAACTGTCCGATGATGTAATGCCGCCAGTACCCTCAATACTCAATGATGTCATGTTTAGAGCAGAAGACGGTGGCGATGGAATCACAACTACCAGTCCCCCGGCAACAACAGACGCTGTGCCCAAACTATCCGATGATGTAATGTCGCCAGTACCCCGAAAACTCGATGATGTCATGTTTAGAGCAGACGACGGTGGCGATGGCATCACAGCCACCAGTCTCCCGGCAACAACAGACGCTGTGCCCAAACTGTCCGATGATGTAATGCCGCCAGTACCCCGAATACTCGATGTCATGTTTAGAGCAGAAGACGGCGGCGATGGCATCACAGCCACCAGTCCTCGGGAGCCAACTGATGCTGTGCCCAAACTGACCGATGGCGCTGATGGCTTCATTGGGACTGGGATCAGCGACACCATTGCTGGTCCGTCTACGAGCCGTGTTGTGAAGCACGATGTCACCACGCATTCGGCTGACATTGTGCAGAGTTCTCCAGCCAACAGATCTGAACATAGTCTAGCCGGTGCTCCGTCAGAAAAGGCAGACCCGTCAACGGACTCCGTCACGTTCGACACACAGGCAACCAGCAGCAGAGACGCTACTGAGTCGATCGGCCCAGCGGCAGCGAGCGCTGCCTCGACGCCGCAAAGCGGCTACAACCTGGCCATCGTTCTGGCCTCGATGTGCGGCATACTGCTGTGCGTCATCTTCCTTCTGGCCTGGCAGGTGAAGAACATCCGCAAGCCAACAGGTGAGCTACTTTATAAGTACAAATTTTCGTTCACGATATCTTTCGTTATTTCACTCCACCAGCAGGCGTGTTACGTACTAAATTTCGTGTTTGGTCGAGGTCTGTCACCCCGAACGTTCAGAAAAAAAACTTTAGTTTGATACAAACTTTAGTTATTTCATGCCGCCTAACGAATACTGTATAAGCAGAAATATTCGTCTGGAATTTAATTTCGTCTTTTTCGTCCAAGGCGCTCTTGGACTAAATTTAATGTCGATTTGTGCAGCTTTTCTATACACTCTTATGATCCATGGACGAAATTTTCAACCGGACGAACTCCTTTTCTTTGGATTTGGACGAAATTATTGACCGACGAAATGTTCTGCCTCTACAGTACTGTATCAGTACAAGTTTTCGTTTGGAATTAACTTTTTCTATACTGTAGAGGCAGAACATTTCGTCGGTCAATAATTTCGTCCAACTCCAAAGAAAAGGAGTTCGTCCGGTTGAACATTTCGTCCATGGATCATAAGAGTGTATGGAAGAGCTGGGCAAATCGGCATTAGTCCTACATTTAATTTAGTCCAAAAGCTCGTTGGACGAAAAAGACGAAATCAAATTCCAGACGAATATTTCTGCTTACTGTACAGTACACAGTAAGCCTGCTGAAGGGTGTGTCCTCTCTCTCTCTCTGTGTGGCTAGTGTTTTCTAAACTTTTTTTTCCCTACAAAATCCACATAGTCTCCAGATACCGTCCGGGGTGGATACTGGAGTGTGGTGGTGGGGCCCATTAAGCTCAGCCGACCAGAGGTCTCGGCTTCATAGCTCGATGGACGCGTGCAGGTACGCGAGGGTGAAATCCGACCCAAAGGGCAAAAGCGGCGCCCTGCGCCAGTTCCGATTACATCATCGTGTTCGCGTGCAGTCAACTTCGCTAATAACGACTGCGGATATAACGACAATTCGCGAATAACGACAGAATTCCCCTGCCCAGAGCAAAGTCCCATCTAACTGTTTACATATAATGAGACTTCGGGTATAAGGACACCTCGCGAATAAGGACACTTTTCTGATGCCCCGCCGCGTGTCGTTACACGCAAAGTTGACCGTACATGTATAAGTCCAGCCTCGTTCGTACCACTTCCAGGGCGTCAAGGCCGCCAAATGTGCTCTCTGGGTCGGATTTCACCGAGCGCAACTGTAGCACCGCACCTTTTCTCAATCCTCCTGCTGTCTTTTCTCGCCTACAACTTCAGGTCAGGCAAGAGTATGTGAAATCCAAAAGTGTGCAGCTGGAATGGGTTGATGTCATGGCCAAATTCCTGGATTATATCATTCTAGTGACACCGTGCATACAAGCAGGATTCGAGCAGGTCTCCAGTTGCACAGCTGAAGCTCAGTTGTACACACTTGCGTCACTACCCGCCGCTTATCCGCATCAGTCATGATGTAATCGAGGAATTTCGCCGTGACCGTATGACCGACACCCATGCAGGAAGGTCACACGTTGCACACCCCCTGGGTCTCATCACGTATGGCGCGCAAATTTAGCGTTTTCATAAATTGGGCTGATTCGCGATGAGAAACTTTTGCGTTTCTTTCTCTTCAGTCGGATCTTGTACTGTCTACAATCAATGCATGGAGAGGTTTGCAGCGATTTATATTCGCGAATGTGTGATGGTCGCGAAAATATAGCGAAATTTAACCCTTTCACCGCTAAGGACGTTTATTTACGTCCTTGAGAATGACGCCCGTCCACTAAGGACGTATATTTACGTCCTGAGTGCACATCGCGTACTGATGACCATTTTCCAACTGAAATCCGACCCCTGAGCGGTGCGCTCACATCGCAAAGACCCAGCACAGGATTGTAACACTACGAAATAGAGAGCGATAGAATGTGAACGCACCGCTCAGGGCCTCGGATTTCAGTTGCCAGCACCGTAGTAGTGTTTGCACGGCTGCATCACATCACATCACATCACATCACATCACATTGCATCACATCACATCACATCACATCACATTGCACCGCACCGCACCACAGCCCCCCCTGCACACAGACCACCAGTCCAGTTTCTTTACACCCCCACCGCAGAATGCAGAGGTCAGGGATAGCCCGGTATCAAGGAACATAAAAACCGAGAGTATGCAGCTCGACCAGGTTGCCGTGACGACGAAACGGGAGGTACTGTATAACATCAAGAGTCCATAACCCAAGAGTATGCAACTGTGATCTCTTTTCTATGGGCCAACCGCGCGGCGCGCTGCCTTAAGTACATCATTCAGCTGCAGCCCGAGCACTGCGGAAAATCAAACACCGCACTTTCCCTCCAGTTTGAAATGAACTTTCGTACGGAACTGGAGTTCACGCGCCAGAATTCAGAGATTGTGTAGGTACTGGAACGAATTGAGCAAAAACGGATGGGCTCGTGCGAGAAATTGAGAGTTTGAATGCATGCTTTCAGAGCGTGATGAAGGCAAGTTACGTAATGAAGGCAGCGCGCCACGCATGCACCCATAATCACAGTTGCATACTCTTGGGTTATGGACTCTTGATGACATGTAATTTTTGGTGTACAGTCAACTTTGTGTATAACGACACTCGGCGGGGCATCAGAAAAGTGTCTTTATTCGCGAAGTGTCCTTATTCGCAAAGTGTCCTTATTCGCGAAGTGTCCTTATTCGCGAAGAGTCCTTATTCGCGAAGTGTCCTTATTCGCGAAGTGTCCTTATTCGCGAAGTGTCCTTCTTCGCGAAGTGTCCTTATTCGCGAAGTGTCCTTATACCCGAAGTCTCACTATATGCATTACAGTTAGATGGGACTGGGCATGGGAATGCTGTCGCTATTCGCGAATTGTCGTTATATCCGCAGTCGTTATTAGCGAAATTGACTGTAGTAATTAGTAAACTTTCGGTGTCAGGGACCTGCCAGGTTTCAGGTGTATAATAGACAGCGTTCCCTGCACATACAGTGCATACTCCAGTGCCTTTTAGGTTTAATCTAGATTTAGGGGCGTCCGTAATTTTCGAAAAATTAAAAAATCCGTCCTCGTGCAAAATTGCCTCTGACCCACCCACCCACCCCCCATTTTTTCCCATTAATTTTTTGATTTTTACCGATGCCCAGCTCGAAAATAAGAACTCCTGACCCCATGTTTTCTGACTGCACCTGTGTCAAGTACTCAGTGAGTAGCTAAGTACAGTGAGTAGTAGGTCTACCGGCGTCACGGCCATGCACCGTCCTACAACTACATGAAAAGTCATGTATATCATAGTAGATACTGGTGTTAGCGACAATCGATCCTACACTACAACGTCTACAGTACAGTACACAGTCAGCTATAAAATTATATAATATCAGTGCAACAAATGTATGAAAGTCACTGGAGCAAAAAAAAGTACGAAAAATCAAAAAATTAAATTCCGCCAGCACACTCGACCACCCACCCCCTTTTTGCCTGAGGATGGATTTTTTAATTTTTCGAAAAATACGGACGACCCCTTAGCTGCCTGGTTTCTCTACCGAAACTACAGAAATTTAAGTTACACTGAAAACAACATGTTATACAGTACTACCAAGAGTCCATAACCCCCCAGAGTGTGCAACGCGCGATAGGGTCTTGTCACGACTCGTTTTCAACATTACGTCGTTTTCTTGTAGCGAATGTCGCGGCCTGCACGCGCAGCTACATGAAAATGACGTAATGTTGAAAACGAGTCGTGACAGAGATTTGTGTGGCGTTGCACACTCTGGGGTTATGGACTCTTGGTAGTACCGTATACTCCCACCAGAGCGCCCCGTCTTTCCCATGCGCCCCTCTCGGACTTCTTGTCAGGGAAGTGAAAATCCTCGTATGGCTCTGTGAAGTGTGATGCCGTACCGCACTGCAGACGCGAGCTCGACCCGGTTGAAACGTACGCAACAGTTCACACCCTCTTGACAAGGGATCACACAGACCCTGGGTTTTGATGGGTCTGTAAGACTTCCTGCTCTTGACCTTTGGTTGGTGTACGAGACACACACACACAGGTTTCGTAGGGTGAGTGATTTTTCATGTAATACTGAATGCGGCAAGTAGGACTCGCCCATCCGCCCCTCCCCAAATGGATCTACTTGAATGCTTGCGGAGGTAGGGGCGCTCTGGCCGGATTTCACGGTACTCGTAGCCCATGCATGGCAGCAAGAGTACATAACCCCCCAGAATCGGCAACGCCTGATCCAGCTCTGCATAGTATCTTGGTCGAGCGTAATCAGATCTTTGCGTCATAATACCGTACACATGATCTGAGGGGAACCCGGGGAGTCGCGGGTACTCTAGGATCAAAAACAACGGTACCCTGCCTCGAGACCGGCTTTGCGCTGGTGTGGAGTGTACGCATGACATCAGAAGATCCAATTACGCTCGACCAAGATCCTATGCAGAGTTGGATCAGGTGTTGCACACTCTGGGGGGGGGGGGGGGGTGTACTCTTGATGGCTGCAAGAAGGTGTGCGTAGTAGTGTCAGTGTAGCTGTATGATGTCGAGGACATTGCAGGTGCAGCGCTGATGAATGTGTATGACCATGGCCAAGAGTACCCCCCCCCCCCCCCCAATAGTGTGCAACTCCAGCTATGGGGCCGGCGACGGCAGAACTTCACATCACCTGATGAACCCGTACACATTATTCGCACCTGGTGCATGATAGATGCAGGGTTGTACGCAACCCTGCTTTGGGTTCAACTCTCTTGTGGTCACTTTGCACTGTTTGCCAGAGTAACCTACTGAACACTGAATGTCACGTGATGTGAAGTTCTGCCGTTGCCGCACTGGATAGAGGTTGAGCAGGCAGTTGCACACTCTTGAGATTATGTACTCTTGCCATGACTTGTATGTATGTGTGCTTGTGCGTGTCTGTGGGTTTTATATGTGTGTGTGTGGGGGGGGGGGATGCTTGCGTGTTTGGACATGTGTGTGTGTGTGTATGTGCGTACTTGCATGTTTGTGAGGAGGAGGAGGAGGAGGTACGTGTATGTGT